AACAATCCTGCAAGTGTGTATGACTACAGCAAGGATGTTACACTTCGAGCCACTAGGGGGAGGTAATGATACAAGTGCTCTGATACCTCCCGAAAATGCGGCAGAATATTTTGATGGCACATAAATAATTTAAATGATGAAGAATGTTTGAAAAGGAAAAATATAGATGACAGCTCTGCATTCCTCCACGTTTTGATACACGACAGAGATTTTTGTTCCAGCCGTTAATCGGCAAGTTTTTCCTTTTTGTTTTTTGTTTTAAGTTGAAGAATCGTTTTAAGTAAAACGCTTGTCTGTGATCTTGGCGGCACGATGCGAGCTAGAAAGGAATGTTTTGTCGTCTGCAGTCACGCTGCTGCGCTGTTTTAACAGCGTGATGCCTTCGTGGAGCAGAGACAGGTGTTTTGCTTAATTATTTATACTGTTGACATGTTATCAAAGTATTTCTTAACATGTTTGCCCAATCACTTACAGTCATCATGTTTCCAAACAGCTCCAACTCTCTCAGCTGTTACCCTGCACTTCCTGTCCAATACAAGATCGCAAGGGACAGAGCAGTTGTCTATGTACTAGCTTGGAGAAGGGAGGAGAGGGGAGCAGGGTATGACTTGTCCTGCTGTGTCTGTGTGTTTGTGGAGACACACACAGCTTACTAGCACACACAAGAGTGGCTCCATAGGACCCTACAGGGGAAAGGAGCCACCCTAAAACAGGATATCAGGACCAGTGCTCAGGGGACCAGCTGATTTTGCAGGAAAATAAAACTTTTAGACATCACGGAGCAGCATCCATTGTAAGTGATTTCATCAGCATTTGAAAAAGCTTAAAAACCTTTTGAGTTTAATATCACTTTACACACATCACTACAGTAAAGTAAAAAAAAAAGGGGGCGAAGAGGTGGACGTGTATTTCTGGAACACCATATTTATTATTTGTGCATGTGCCAGATATATCAGGACCGATATCGAGCTATCATTAGACAGAGCAGATCACAATCCACCGCTCTGTGGCTTGCAATAGTTGTGATGGCCAATCACCTTTTGAAGGCCCTCTACTTCCTCCTCTACCGCCAATTGTTTGTCTGATAATCCGTAATGTAATACAGCTCCCACTGACCACCAACCAAAGAGGGGCATACTGAGCAGCCAGGGGGTACACAGGGCACATTGACCATAAAGGGGGCACACTGACCTCCAATTTTATAGGGAAAAACACGATTGGCCACCAACAGTTATGGGACACTCACCACTGATCACCAATCCTGTCAGCAAGCTCTCAATATCAGATAGGACTTTGCAATGAATTATACACTGGTTCAGGCCCGGCGCTACCGCAAGGCAAGTCAGGCGGCCCCCTTACGGCGCTGCAGGGTGAGGGCTTGAAGGAAAGTAAAAAAAAAAACATAGCGCAAACATCGGGGCATTTTGACAAGTACCTGTCAAAATGCCCTGTTTTTACAGGGGGTCGGGGAGGGGGGCGCAAAAATGCACCTTGCCAGTGTAGGCACGAGTCCTAGCACCGGCACTGGTACTGGTTGACAGGGTAGGCCTTAAATACATTAATTAGAATGTCTTCTTATAATATAAAGAATATTCCTGGCTGATTACACTATGGGGGCTTCGCCAAACAGCCTGCAGACAGGTAGGTACAGAAGGAACTATACGCTGCAATGTTGGTAGATGTTCCTCAGATGTCTACCTGATTCCCTCTAAACTGAATGGATTGATAATGTGGGACCTTGTGAAACATATTTATGTGTAAAGTTTGCTGAGAAATCAAACCTAGGGAACAGGAACATCTATGTAGCATAGGATCTGCCTTTTCAACCAAAGGTTTCATGAGTTTTTGTCACTGTTACTGTGCAAATATAAATAAAGTAACACATACAATACTCAAACGTGTTGTTGCAAGTGTGCTAATATGTCTACAATATGAGTTGATTGTAATTTGACAATTATGTATTTGGTGTCCTCTACTGGGGAAAAATTGGTATTAAACAAATTTTGTGTACTGTGCTTTTTTTCTCTTTCCAGTACCACTGTATAATATAACAAGTGACCCAGCTGGTATGGTTAGACCCAAACTGGATAGAAATTCTGAAAAATGACATTGCATGCCCTCCCTATTCTAGACGGTTCAGTCCCTAGATGCATGTACAGTAAGCTCTTACTTTAAATTTACATTGGATAGATGTGTGTAAGCATAGGACAGAAATAAAATAATTAATATTATCATCCTCACCATTGTAACTATTATTATTAATATTATCCGTTACAAAAAAGTTGTGCTATCAAAAAGAACGGTGTTTATTTATTTTGATGCAAGATTTTGTTTAAACATTTTACATTTGCTTTTATTTGGTACTATGGGGACCTCTAGTGGTCAGATATAAGTTTGCATCGCAAGAGGGATTTCAGTCCTCGTTTTGTTCCATAAGACGTTTCCTAGTGTCTGTGAAGAGGTTCTGAAATACTGGATCTTGCAGAGACTACTGTTATGTTTGCAAAAATTGTTCCACCGCTTATAGTTTATTTTGTTCACATCTTATCAGCTTTATGAAATGAAACAATCGGTACGCAAAACAGTAGACTCTGGATGGGGCTTAAGCTGGCCATACACCAGTAGAATTGCAAAAAAATAATAATTTTATTCTAATTAGTAATGTAATTAATGTAACTAGTAATTTTCTAACAGTAATGAGGTTCAACGGATTATCACTTTCAAACATAATGACGAAAAATACAGAAGGAGCGGGATGGAAAATATTTCCCGAATGGACAAAATTATAACAATGAATGTGGTTTTCAGTCGGGAAACTCCATTCATTCCTCATGAAATATTTTTCAAGTCTCTGATGATATTATGGAATGCTCTGATGAGATTTTTCATTGCTTTGCAGAAAATCCACCAGTCTATAACCAGCTTTAGACGGAATATCTACAAGACACACTCCTCACCTTTCCCAGCTAATCTGATCTATTCATAGTGAAGAAGACCTTTAATAAACTCAGGTACAAAATAAAGCAATTAATTGAAATTAACTTTATTAGCCATGCAACTTTAAATCATATTATATTTAACTCAGGTAAAGCAGTAGACTATTCACCAAACATATTTTAGAATTGAAGGTTTGGAAAAGGCAGAAAATTGCTGTCTGAAGTCGAAAGAATAGATGCACTCCACAGGTGTCAGCAAGCAAGTCTAATCTGTAATGTAATCTAAACTCGTGTATACATCACAAATAAGCTCCCCAGATCCAGCAGAACCCTCTGGGATGTGTACACGAGTTTGGAATACTTTAAAGATTGGACTTGCTTGCTGGCTGTGGCGTGCAGCTATTCTATGGACTTCATATGTTTATAGTGAGCACACACTGATTCAGCCTGCACCTGTGGGTTCAACACGGCAGGTAATGACTGCAGAATTGGAACAATGAGGATTTTGGATGGCAAGAAAATTGCTTTAGTCATTGATTCACCCACCGGCCCCTGTAAATGTGTTTTATTGTCCTTCCAGTTTTAAAGTGTACATATATATATATATATATATATATATTATATCACCTCTATCTATTCCAACCTGTGAGATATGATTTTGTATTTGCTGTTCTATAGCAACTGCAGACAGATGCAGCTTTTCAATCCTTAGATGTGATGGCTGCCTCTAAGAAGCACTGAAAGGAAACAATCCATTCATGTGATGACAAGGAGTATGCGAATAGGAGAAGAAAGCAGAGTGATGGAGAGATAAGCTCGTCATCACTGTGCTGCTTCTCCTTTGCTGTTAAGTAACATGGTGGGGGCTTTGACGGCCCGGTCTCAGAGGAAGCGGGTTGACAGATCCTGGCGTACTGCGGGTAAAAGCTCCAGATTAATCGTTAGCATTGTAGCAAAAGCTGTTTTTACATTTTATCTTTTGATGGTCTATTCATTGTTTTTGTTTTATTTTGGTTTGAATATTGCTTTAGGGTTATTTTTAGTGTAAAACCACTTTCTGATTCGAATGTCTCCAAAAAACACAGAATGAGCTGTTTCCCCTGGTATTTATTGTTGTGTACTGTGCCAGGAGGACTAAAGTTAATTGCAGTAACATGTTTATAGAAAGATATTTCATGTGGCCGGAAGGGCTGAAATATTAAAGCTGAACTCCAGGAACTATGTTTTTTTAAACTTGCATTGGTCCAGCATGGTTACATCTAATTCTTCATATCTCACATCCGCAAGGCTGCTGGGGATGCAGAAATTCACTGCAGAGGCATCCCCGTTCTGGGTGTCACCCAGTGATGTTATCACATACACGCGTAAAGTCATTACGCGGGCGTAACTGCTGGAGGCCATCTTGGTAATGGATGCTGGCAGATAGAGCAAGGGACCTTCATCTGGCAGTATAAGGTATGCCGCTGGGTCCCCTCCTCTCTCGTCCAGCGGTCAGGCTCTCTGTCCATGACCCAGTGCCCGACCTTTTAGAGGGGGTGACACCAAAATGACTGTCACCCAGGTGTCACGCACGGGGTGACACCGATCAGTCATTTTGGTGTCACCCCATGCGTGCCGCACCTCTCCTTCGCAATCTCCTTGTGATTCCACTGATTCACTGTAGTAGCCGGTCTCTTCCGGGTGCTGCTCAAGTGATTTGTCATCTGCATACCAAACAGAGGGAGTCACTCGCTCGCCACCTACGCCATTCAGTAAAACTATTTACAGAGCACCAAGGGGAGAGGAGGGCAGTATAAACAACACTAGCTCTTCTTTCTGAGACCCACAGCTCTCGTATTCAGAGCAGGCCAAAAATGCTTTACAACTTGGGAAAGGTAACGTTTATTTACACATCAGCATTTAGAAAAATATCTGTTCCTGGAGTTCCACTTTAAATTGCAGCTCTCGGTCAAGGTAAAACCAGGGGTGGGGGTTCCCTCGGTGTTGATTGTAAGCTGGAAATCTTTATTAAATATGATTCATAATACAGTCACCACATAGCCAATGTAACTCTTAAGTAATTGCACTGCCATCAAGGTGTGAGGGCAGCTTTATGTGAAAGGCAGTAGGGAGAGACCATACACATTATTTGCAATCCTCGTCGAATATGAGGTACTTCTTCCTATCCTTGGAAAACAGAGTTTTTTCCACCTCGCCTCCACCATTGCTCTCTTTCTGGAAGTGGATCTGTATGACATCTTGAACATCGTCTTCATCTTCATCATCTAAATTCTTGATGCCGGTTAATAGCACCGACCTCGAAGAAACGGCAGAAAACATCTGCAATGGAACAAACAAAATCATGCCCATGACGAAACACAATGACACAACATATTGGGGATATTGGTGTCAGTTTAAATGGGAGTAGCTCGTGTAAAGTAGGGATGAGGTGCGGGATTGGAATAAAGTAGGATGAGGTGCGGGATTGGAATAAAGTAGGATGAGGTGCGGGATTGGAATAAAGTAGGATGAGGTGTGGATTGGAATAAAGTAGGATGAGGTCTGACGTTTGCCAGTTCGGCGAATGGTGTAATTAAATGGGATGTTTGCCCACCAAGCTAAACCTCAGCTGTAGCAGGAAGTTACATTTAGCAGGGGTCTACTGATTGCTAGAAAGTCAGCAGCCACTGGTGCTCCATCCCTGACCCCATTCAGCTGATTTCTGGGAGATTCCCCAGCTGACAGCTGAATGTGAACAAAGGGACAGGGATGGTGGCTGACATCATTGACTATATATGGCCATGATCATATTTGATCAATGACATCAGCCAACATCCCCGCCCTGGGAGCTGTCAGTTGTGGGGAACAGTCATTAGGGGCTAGGGGTACATGTTCCCCAAGACAGTGCACAGCTACCCATGCTCTTTATCTGACAATCCTTTACCTATTAGCCTTCAAATGGAGAACATTTATTTAAAAGATTTGACTCCTGTTGATGTCAATTGGGGTTGATTAACATAATATATAATTACAAACTGCACATTATAAATAAAATACATAAAGATGAGATTATTTGAACAGGAAGTTCACCCTAGAATTACTCTATTAATATTAAACAGCCATATAACACATGTACCTTGATAAACACGTAGCACCATGTTTGACTTCAGTCTGCACTCCGAGTGTCCAGCAATAAGAATTGGAAACAACGGCTATTGCTAGTGAAACTATGGAACTCATGGTGTTGCTCAGCCAATCTCATGTGCTACCTATGTCTTGTGATTGCAAAGTCTGATTGTAAAACGCTTCCTCTTTGCCTTGATGTTGTCACAGATGTAGGTATCAGGAGGGGGGCTGAGCAACACCATGGGGTTGATTTACTAACCTTATAAACACGCCACGAACAAGTATACACCTCTGTAGTGTGTTCCCTCCCAGCATGATCTATTGGTGGAATCTAGACACCTTTGTAGTGTGTACACACCCAGCAGGTGTGTTGTGCAAAGCCCTGCATGAATTGCAAGGTGATGTTGTGTAAATTAGCTCTATGTTGTGTTGCTTGCATTGATGAATGCAGGAATGTAAATGCATGAGCTAACCATTTATGTCTAAACTGTGAAGCAGCATTATATATGCATCATGTGCATGATTTTTCCATATATGGCATTAGTGGAAATATGCTTTTAGAGACTTGCATGCCGCTATTAGAGCGGCGTGTAGCCTATGGCGCATGCTACATGACGTGCACGTACGTACATACATAAAAACGCGCCATAACGGCGTGAAAATGTGACACGTTGCTCGTGTTTGGTTGATAAATAAGTTTTGCTGTGTAAAAATGCACACGCACCTGGTGCGTGCGTGTGTTTAGGTTAGTAAATCACACACCATGAGTTCCATAGTTTCACTAGCAATAGCCGTTGTTTCCAATGCTTATTGCTAGGCAATCGAAGTGCACACTGAAGTCAATCATTGTGCTACAGTATGTGTTTATTAAGGTACATGTGTTATTTGGCTGTTTAATGTTCAACAAGTAATTCTAGGGTGAACTTTTACTTTAAGGAAAGCTGATCTCTTTTATCTATTTATTATAAAAATGATAACAATGTTTATTTCTTTTAACCTTATTATCCCATCCACATAGGACATGGTGGGTACAAGAACTCCTATGTACAGAAAGACAGAGTTCCAACTGGCAAGGTAAAGAGCTTCTATCAGGATTAAATAAAAAAATAATAATGATGTAATGTATTTGTATGGAATTTGTTATGGGAAATGATTTAGGTGATGGGATTACTATGGTGCATATCATCAACAGAAATGTCATAAACTTTAAAAGATTTCACATCCACTTAAAAGTTTTTATTTACTTCCTTTACACCCACATGGTTTCATTAAGGGCCTGTTCACACGACGTCCGTTTTCTGTGCTGACCGGCTCCGTACGCTCCTGCACTAAAAATGCATCCCAATGTATCCCTATGTGTTTTATGGGCTACAGTTCTCACATGCGCAGCCCGTTCAGGTTACGACAGAAAAAATACTGCATGTCACATTTTGTCCGGTCAGGAAACGGACCGGAAACGCAAAACGCGTCAAAAACATGTCAAAAATGCACTGCACTGCAGCTAACATACTGACAGCCACACTACAGCAAAACAAAAAAAATATTTTTTTTAAATTTGAACGCAGCAAAAACGCACTGCATCAGTAGCACCGCGTCTGCAGATCCGCACCTGATCAGGACCACCTGATATCATGTGAACAGGCCCTAATAGCCATTTACTCCTCCTCACTGCTTTGTGATTGGCTATCCTTGGAGGTTACTGTTTCCAACAGTTAAAGGAGAACTATGAGGTGAGTGATTTTAACTCAACCTCATAGTTCGAGCCGACTTGTGACAATGAAACTGTCACACGTCGGCTCAATAGATCGGGAAGTAAGCGAAAAACATATCGCCGGTCACTGACTGGAGGAATGGACGGGGGAGGGGGCGGGTACAGCTGGCTCTGCCTCTAGATAGGCAGAGGCACGAGAGGACGCTAGTTTGTGTCCTCTCGTGACCCTGAGGAGAACTATGGAGAAAAGCACTGACCCCATAGTTCTCCTTTAACTAAGGTACATTTTGCTACTGACTGATGTCTTTATAAATATAAAACAAAGGTTTGGTAGGCATTTAAAGGTCTTGCAAAGGAGTAAAGACATCAAATCAAAGTTTAATTACACCAACATTTTGGCAGGTCACAGTCTGCCTTTCTCACTGAAACCTTGGAGGACCTTTGAGTGCCTATAAAACCTTCCCTATACTACTAGAGTAGATTCACGTAGAACACAATTGAGCTCCGGGATGGGAGCCAAAGGTAGGCCAGAGTTGCTGTCCCTAAAAAAAAGTATCCAGGGCAGTGGCGTAACAACGGCACACTTGCACCGGGCACAGGACGGAGGGGGAGGGGGGGGCGCAGTCCCTATAGAATACATATATATTCAGTAATTTGTCCCATATGAAAATGCATTACAATGATATGTGTTTTTTGTACTTTGGTATATAATGATAAAGCTATCACCAAGTAAACAGACCCATAGTAGAAATGTAATTAATGACTCTGGTCCATAAACGGTATGTAGGTACGAGAGCTGAAATTGCTAAGATACAGTTTGCATAACCCCTACCAGGCATTTCAGCTCTCAGAAGGTGTTGTCACTTCTTAAGTTGAGCACAGTATACAGTATGTAAAACAAAAAGGTTTCAGCTGAAGTTGGACATGACAATTTCAGAGCAACCTGCACAGTAACCATTGTGGAATAACCACCATCTGCATGTGGCCTTCAGTCATATTTTATCCAAAAGTGACCCTTTCCTTTCCAGGGCAAAGTAAAAGGATCACTTGAACTCCCTCTCTTGTCCCAACTTTGGAACAGCCTTGCACAGGCATCGGAAAGGCTCACTTTAACAAGCACAACCCATTCAAGGCATTTTCTTAATGAACACACAACCAGCAACACTTTACTAAAGCTGTTAAGGCTCACACATGTAGATATAGGATATGACTTTATTTTACCTGCAGCTTGTTCAGTTCTATATCCACACATGGCATCACTTCAACTTCACATGTGGCTCCTCCAGCCCTGAACGGGTGAAATTCCTCCTTCAGCACTCTCTGAGCCACTTTAAAAGAGAATACAATAGTGAGTGTTTAGGTGTATACAGTTGACAATCTCTTCTAAAGCCCTAAAAAATTGGAAGATATGGTATACTAAGTGTGTGAAGAAATGTTAATCATCAAGACTGAAAGTCCTACCCATTGGAGAATGTTTTTAAAGCCATCTGGGTGCACAACAGAGCAGATTACGCAGGGCCAGAGGTTTCCCTATTGTATTCAGAACAAAGGAAAATAATTTCTGCTTAAAGCCCAACTCCACCCCACATGTATTTTACCCTTTTGGGTTGTTGTTTTTTTTTTTACTATACTTTATACTTTTTAACATGCCTTTTACAGATGTGTTTAGGTCAATCATGTGATGCATGAGATTATCTTCCTCTTTCAATCTTCTCTAGCGGTGGGTAGACCACGATGATGCAGCTCTTTGCTTTGAGTGAATGGTGCCATGTTGGCGTCCTCTCAGGAGGTGTGTCCATAATGCTCTGCACTCACACTATGCGTTCAGTCTTTCCAGGTTAAATGACACCAGGCGTCATTCAACCCAGGAGACTGAGGAAATCTAGTATCAGAAAATAATTACTGTAGAGGGCAACATGGAAAGCTAGGGCTCCTTTTTTTTAGCTTGAGTGAAAAAAATTAGACCGGTGTTGGGCTTTAAATTCCACCTTCAGTCCTCTCTAGTGGTGGGCATTCCACAATGATGCCACTCTATTCATCATTGGACTGTGCATGCATGGTGCCATGTTGAGGCGGGTCCATGACACCCTGCACACACAATTTGTCTTCAGTCTCTCCACTTTTGAATTAAACCGGGTGTCATTCAACTCAGACGACTATGGACATCTAGCAACAGAAAATAATTAATGTGGGGGGGCAACATGGAAAGCCAGGGCTTCTTTTTTTTTAGTTGCTGAGTGAAAACCAATTATACTGCTTTTGGGCTTTAATCACCACTGAAATAGGTGTACGTTTACCGCATATCATCCCAGCATACCTCCATTCTGCAAATATGTGACACACGCAGTGTTATTATTCCTGTCATAGTCCACCTTCTCAATCTCTCCACCTCCAACACCAGATTTATAGAAGTACAACTCCAGTTTGTCCTTTAGAACCTCTTCGGGCATATCTTTGGGCAGGTTGGAAATTTTTAGTTTCTTTCTGGAAATATTCATGTTCACCTATGAAACAAAGGAGACAGAAAACTGTTTAAATATAAAACACCACAACATGGGCAAACCACGGAAATACAATTACAGAAATTTCACCTCAAATTTCACCGATTTTCCTAACTGGGGTTCAGCAGCTTCCACAGGGACTTTTGTGTTATCATTATCCAGTTTATGTCTTTTCTTGGCAATAATGGATCTGGCAACTGTTTGGAAAAAGTATTGAACATGAGAGGGTAGTAAACATAAAAATACATGTTTTTTTGTAAAAGATTAATTTATATATTTCACAAAAATGTTTAAAAATATCTATTAAATCTGATCTGATTGAATAGGCATTTTATTTACATTTCAAGTTATATATTAACCCATTGGTGCTGGCTCCAGATGAACCTTATTGGAGTTCTGCATGACAGTAGGCAGGGACGGGCTGATCAATGTGATTGGCTGTCACACTAGTCATGTGATAAGGAGCCCAACCCACCCACTCCTGATCATGACCAGTGACCGGGAGCTGGTGGTGAAAGCCTGATACGTGTGCTGGAAGCGTGCTAATGATACATACTGTATATGCTTACAATCGCTGTTAAAGCCAACCTGTCAGGGTGACACATGTAAGCATTACGCTGGCAGGAACTTTTCAAATCTCTGTTCAACAGAGTTTCAGAACTTCATGAATCTCTGTCAGCTTTTTGCTGTCTGGTTCCTTGATGGTGAGATGACACAGGAAGTGAGGTGAACCTGACACAGAACCTCCCAAACACAGACATCAATGCAAAACTGACAGTTTCTTATATGTCTTCTTATGTATCTTGGATGTTCCAACAATGAGATTTCCTGTCCATAATTGCAGCACAAAGCAGCTCCTTTACCTACTTGAAAGCAACTCAGAAGCAAGTCAGAAGCACCTGAATTTGAGTCTGAGGGCCGCTAACAAATATTTTAACAGATGTGTTTATTTCCACTGTGTCCAAATGTCTGTTTGAAGTTCCACTTTAGAGGGAATGTACCCACTTGTTATAGTTTTTTTGTTTTAGATAAAAAGAACATCTTGATATGTAATAATTTTATCAAAGTGCCTTAAAGTTTTTACAAAATTGGATATACTGTATATAAAATACTAGCAAATAAGCAAGGGAGATACTTTAGTAGGTAGTAGTAAGTAGTAGAGGGCGATGTGCTACTAGTAAACACATACCAGCGCCATCTGGGCACAAAGTTCATAGCTGGTTATACCTCATTCAAAGACTTACTTCAACAACGTAGGAAGACACCTATTCAGAACACATTTGTAATTGAATACAAATACCTCGCTCTTCTTCAAATGTCACTAGGGCTTGTCCATCCCCCAGGATATAGGGGTGACCTGAAACAATTTGACAGGTGTACGTAATATCCATAGGCTCAACATCAATTTGATTTTCTTCAGAAGCAGGATTGCTCTTAAAATTCAGATTCTTTTGGGGCAATGGGCTGTTAACCTGGTACAGAAAGAAACCAAAGGTAAGAAAGTAGACTGCAAGTCCAACTGAACTTTAAGTTTAAATCTTCTAGATATCATTCCAGGTGCATCAGGTTCCTTTTTAGTGTTTTGGAAAGCAGCCACAGCCTGAGTTGAAAAGCCTGTTGCCTGTCAGCATTCTGTAGAGAAAGAAAGGACCCTTGAGTGGAAGCCGTGGTTTCCCTGCAGAGGTCTGACATGCACCAAGCTGGGTCAGATCTATAACTCTGCAATCAAGAAAGGTCAGGCTTCCTGCTGATTGGAGAACTCTAGTTTTGCATAACCAAGGGGATGTTTGGGAGCAAGGGTCCTTCTCTGCAGCATGGTGTCAGGCGACAGGCTTTTCTGCTTATACCATGGATGATATGTAAAAAAAATCAACTGTAATACTTCATACACCTTTTGTTTTGTTGTGCTTGAAATTAATTTAGCTTATTTAAAATTCTAATTGTCATTTAAGGCATGCAAGTCACTGAGTCAGTGCTTGAGTGTTACAGAAGAAGTGTCTTAAGTAGCATGGCACAAGAGGTTCTATATAAAAGGGAAGCTATAATAGGTTTGGGTCAATGTTTACTAATACACATTTAATGGAAGACAAACGATTTCCAGAGCACTAATTTTGTTTTATGCTTGTGTGCTTAATACCGTGTTTCCCCGAAAGTAAGACCTACCCCGAAAATAAAACCTAGCACAATCTTCGGGGATTTCTGTAATATAAGACCTACCCCGAAAATAAGACCTAGTTCGGTGGTAGGTCTTATATTACAGAGATCCGCTAGGTCTTACTTTCGGGGAAGCGGCACATAACTGTGTAAAAACCAGCCGCAGCTCCCGCCCCGCCCACACGCCCGCCCACACGCCAGCCTGCCGCAGCTCCAGCCCCGCCCACCGGCCGCAGCTCACGCCCGCACGCACGCAGCTCCTGCCCCGCCCACACGCCAGCCGCAGCTCCCGCCCGCAGCTCCCGCACGCACACACGCACAATGGAAGCGACATCCGCCGGGACCGGCAACAGCACGTCGCCTTTCGGGACCTCGTCCACTCCTCCCCCAGCCAGGTAAGACATCCCCCGAAAATAAGACCTAGTGTCTTATTTTGTGCAAAAAAAAAAATAAGACACTGTCTTATTTTCGGGGAAACACGGTAGGAATGAACGCTATTAAAAGACATACAGCGTACCTCTTTCTTGGGTTTTGGCACTATTTCACACCCTGTCATAAATCAAAAATGATTACTGTAGCTACCATAGTTTGTGGTAAATATTCATCCAGCATTCATTGAGAATTCTTAAGAATTACAACTTACAAGTAGATTGTCTTGGATTTTAATAAAAGCTTTTTGATTTTCATCTAAGTACTTCTGAAGTTCAAATTGCTCCTCCTTCAGTTCATCATGCCTCATTTCTTGGTCCAGCAGTTCCTCCTTAAAGTACACAATCACATTTCCATTTATTCATATTTAAGGGGTTGTCCATGCAAAACGCAGATAAGGTATTAAAGATTCAGCAAGTCTCACTTACCTACTGCGGGAAGCCCCCATTCCATTGTTCACACTGCTCGTTCCCACACTAGTGCTTTTTCCCTTGGATTGGGAAACCTGTGATGCCTGTCTTATCTACTCTATATAGACACAACGACAACGTCAACATGCCAGTGACATCATCTGGACCCCAGTGCATATTCTATTCAATGCATGAGTGAGTACCTTAGCTAAAGAATAATGCTGGTTCTTTTAGCAATATCCTGTTCGGTAAATCCCAACTGATACTTTGGTGCCCTGCCTTGTCCTTGACTTTGTCTTTCTGCTTTATGCCTCGCCCCCCATTATGTCAGCTGTCACAAATGGGGACAAGCCCAGGAGTTGAAAGGCTGGCACTAAAATTCAGACTTCCATATGGAGGTCCATGGGGGAGACCAGGCACACTTAGCTCTCCATTGGAAGGCCCATGTCTACCACTGGTTGCAGATCTACACCTACAAATGGCCCTGCATGCCAATACATGACACTGATCTTTTTTTAGCTCAGTCTCTACACAAGGCTCCTGAGTTTGTTCTTTAACTCCTGCAGAAAGTAATGACGCATGTCCCAGCATAGAAGCATTAGGGTCTAGTCACACTATAGTACATGCGATAATGCAGTAGTGTGCATTGAGATGCACTAAGTTCATTGCATGTGCTGGTGCATGTTTTTATGCGAGCTGACCTGCGTTAGGCTATACTGTGATGTGTTTTCTCTTTCTATTTAGCTTTTGTTTTTGTTTCTATAACAACTTTTTTATATTTTGTGCATCATGTTTGTGCGTGCTGCTCTGAAAAAAAGTAGAGCATGCTAGATTATGTATTTTTTTATTGTGCATTGAGAATGCGCTGAGGAAAAGATCACAACACACCTGGTGTGAATTAACCCTTAGAGATTCATTTACTAGACAAGGGTTTTGCCAGTGGGTCCCACAGACCTTACCAATCGACCACCGATCACCGGGACCGACGTGCCGCCTCACAGCCTCCTCCCTGCAACAATGTTTGTTGGTAGTTATACTTACATGTGCCAACGGATTTCCTATATTGACTTGATTGTCAGAAAAGAAAAAAAAAAACGTTCGCAGGGAAAGGTTTAATCTGCTCGATTGAGCAGATTAAACCTTTCCGGTAAAAAGTGTTTCTCTCCCGGCCGGGATGTGTACTCACCGGCCCAAGCAGCTTCATCGGGTAACGAAGGGAAAGGGGAGGAGTCCAGTGACGTCACAGGCATCGACGTCACCGGACTCCTCCCCCTTCTCTTCATTAGCCGACAGCCACTTGGGGTAGGGGGGAGGAAACCTTTGATGTCGATGTCCGTGACGTCACCGGATCTCCGACGGAAGACCCGGAAGCCGGCGGAGAGGTGAGTACGGATCAAAAGAACTTTGATCGATCAAAATAATGTTGGTCGATCAAAATAATTAACGATTAATCGAGGGATTAATCGTTCATTTCCGCTGACCTAATATATGTATTGTTAAAGTGTGGGGTATTTTCTCATGTGTATGGGGGGGTATTATTTGATATGTACAGGTTAGCGGCTCCCGGCCGCCCGGGAGAGAAACATTTTGCAATCTGTTTTTTTTTTCCCTGACATCGGGGCTGCCGTCAGCCAGAGAAAAAACAAACCAAAACAGCATAGGAATGCATAGCTAGATTGCTTTTGGCTATTTCGCTTTGCAACAGCCAATAGCAGACTAGCTATTGCACCTGCCCACTGCTGCTGTCAATCAGCAGAGGGGGACCTGAAGTTCTCCATCTGGTCCTCTTCTAGTGATTGACAGCAGCAGAGGGCGGGTACAATAGCCAGCTTTCTATTGGATATTGCAAATTGAAATAGCCAATAGCAATTTAGCTATGCATTCCTATGCTTTTTTAAATTATTCTGACGGCAGTAGCTGTCAGAGTGCTAAAAAAACCCCAGCAGATAGCAAAGAAGCTATTGTTTCCGGTGCTATCTGCCATCATTTCAGGGCCAATGGGCACCTCCCTGAAATTGCTTTCTTCAGGTTGGAATCCCTGTATGTTTATATTCAGTTAAGAATCAATCACTCTCCCTGGACGCAATGATTGTGCATCCACAAAACATGTTTTCTAACCGCATGTAATCATATCACGTATCATTACATGCAGTGTGCAGGCGTTTACACGGAGCTGCTGTCACCTGATCATTAACTTGAATGGGTGATAGCTACCGCGTGTAAACACCAGATTAGGGATTTCTGCTGCAGTAAAACGCAAGTTTCTGATGCATGAATCCCTAATCGCACCTAAACCTAGATATGAAAGGGGCCTTATTGTGTGTATATTGGTGTCTGTAGTACCATACCGGATACAGTTAAATTTTATTTTATAGTAAGAAATATGGCAAGCGGCCCCCATGAGAGAAGAAAATTTGTTGAGTGGCCCCAGAGATGGAAGAGGCGTAGGGCGAAGATGGAGGAGGCAGGGGGCAGAGACACCGACGGAGGAGGCGGGAGGCGTCGCCGAAGCTCCAGTTGGGCAACGAAGATGACAAGGAAGCCGTGTTGGGACACCGAGGATGAGGAGGCCGTCCAGTCGGGCGCCGAGGACAAGGAGGCCGTGTTCCAAAGAGGTCAGGCCGTGCAAGGTAAGAGGACTGTGCTGTCAGAGCCCTGCATAGATTCTGCACAGCCCACCAAAGAGTCTCAGGTGTGCTGTGCAATACCCTTTGGTTGGCTCTGCAGGATCCGTAGGGGGCTTTGTCGGGTCTCAGGGGGGCTTTGCAGGATCCATAGTGTGCTCTGCAGCCTGCGAAGCCCACTACAAACTCTGCAGAGCCAACCTGAGACCGCAGTCAGGTGGGGAAAATTTAGTGGGGGGCACCGAGTTTTGTCTTGCCTAGGCAGCCCCAAACCAGAATACACCACCGGAGCTGGGCACTGTTTAATTCTATGGAAGGTAAGAAACAAGGAGTATTCTTCATGAAGCCCTAACTGTGTTCCTGGTTTGTAATATGAAAGCAGAATGCTTTTCCAATTTCTTGACAGTACTTGTCATCTGAACCCAGCTGCATATTACATCAACACTTTCAATTAACACTTATAAGTCTTGTCCCTCCCCCAGAATGTGACCCAAAAGTGAAAGGTTAGGCAGCAGACTGATCAGCTTATCTTTTTGTTACTTTGCTCTCTCCTATCAGAATGTCTCTTGTTAGCACACGAGAGCTGCATCCCAACTAACTGACTCCTTCTGCTGCTTCTCCCAGTTTAAATTCAGCTGCAGAAGTGAGAAGCCTAACAAATGAACTCCCCTCTTAAACACCAGCTCTGTGCTAAAGTTCACAAGGAAAGGTTGGCATTGGGAAAGTGGCAGTGGGCCTTCAAAACCCTTAATCTAATGCAACTAAAAATTTTAAATAAAGCACACACATATTCCTTCCCTCCCTCATGTGGCAGTTAGCTTCTTAGGCCCACACCCAGAAGCACTGGGTATTCACCAAGGGCTTCAATTAAGCAATAGAGTGGCAAGGGGGAATGGGGAAGGTGAAGATCAGCAGGTGGGGAGTTTTTCTGTCAATAGTACCTGTCACTTTGCCCTCAAAGGCTAAAGAGACAAGACAAACAAAGAATCCAATAAAGTCTTCAGGCTGTATCTATCCTGAAAAAAAAATATTGAGGTAACGTTTGGAGAGCAAAAGTTCCCATTGTTTTTACTGCCTTTAAATCCCAACTGGATAACTTGTAATGGAGTTTCATAGCAGAAACTGGACTCTCTCTGCTAGATTACGCTGTCTGGTTCCTGCTCTAACACTAAAAATGACTTTATTCATTCAACAGGAGGTAAAAAAAAAAAAACCCCTATTGACTTACCTTGAAATGTGTCTCTTGTTCTTTTAAATAGTCTTGAACATTCTTTTTTTTCTTTAGTAAGCCCTCTAGCTCTTTTTGTAGTTCATCTTGTCTATCATCCATGCTTACTTTTGTTAGATTTTTTGCTAATTTTTGCTTGTTTGTTTCATCGCACTGTTTCTGAGGGACAAAACAATGAGAATGTTTGTCAGCTCTTCATTATCTGAAAATGTAGGTGGCCAAACCTTTGTTGTCAAACATTGTACCTTACTGGTGTACCAGGCCTGCCAAGATTTGTATATATTTTAAGGGTGACTTTATCCGGAACACATATTAAACACATATTAAAGTAATGGCTGGACCCTGGGGGGATGAAATGCCCACGATTTGCATCTATCTCTTGTGGACCTGTGTGATCTACCCGTAAGAGGGGGTTAGTGTCCCTTTTAAGATAGGGATCTGCTCTTTTTCTAGCCAGTCTGGGCTGGCCTTCCTGTTCCTTTGCTGGGTATAAATACTAGGGGTGGAGCTGATAAAGGAGATTGCATGGTACGAGCAGAGCCATGAAGTGTGACAACATATAGGGGTAAAACAGTTAGCTTCTTAGGCCCACACCCAGAAGCACTGGGTATTCACCAAGGGCTTCAATTAAGCAATAGAGTGGCAAGGGGGAATGGGGAAGGTGAAGATCAGCAGGTGGGGAGTTTTTCTGTCAATAGTACCTGTCACTTTGCCCTTTGACAGGATGTAGAGGAATCCGCCTCTGTCCTGCCAACAGAAACAGGCAAACCAGATGAGCCATCCAAAGACTATGAAGTTACTGTGTTTGTGGGCCGCATTGCCATGCTTAACCTGAGAGGCCTGGAGGTCGCAATATGGCAATGAATCCCACAGCTACAGGAGGAGTTGACCCAAACTTTTTACCCACATGCTGCAGTAGGGCTTTGGGTGCTGCATGGGGGCACTACTTTACATACCTATTGATCTTCATGACTTTATTTCCATTATCATTGAATCCCACTCCTACCACTGCATTTACTGTAAATGTAAACATGCAAAAACACAACAGGGAGACTGAAACCCATTTGTAGACTTGGAAAGGTTTAAAGTACATGGGATTTGAGACCAGTTAAGGTGAGTTTTAGATCAGTTTATGCTTAATGTTTATACTTCCATACAAGTCAATGTGAATTCATAAGGGAAACGTATCTCAAAAGCCTGTTTATAATAGACTTTTAAGTTAAATGATTTCAGCAAACTTTATTGTATTCTTTCCTTTTTCTCTGCTCTGAACAGATAGGCCTTAACTTGAGGCAGAATTTCACAAACTTTTTATGATCTGTGTCAAACTTTTCTATGCTCGATTTTGCCTCTATGTATGCACAATTTCAGCCGTTGAGAGGCCTCCCCATAATCCAGCCTTTCTGAACCAGGGTGCCTTCTGGCTTCTTCAGGAGTGCCTCAAAATTTTGTGATGTAGGACTCTGATGTGAAGTGGGGCTTCTGATGTAAAGAGGGAACTTTGATGTGAAAAAAGGGCTTTAATATAACAGTGGGCTCTGATATAAAGTGGGGCTTCTAATACTTAGAGAGCTCCTGATGTGAAGGGGAGGGTGCCCCTAATGTGAACCGGAGGCTACTGATGTAAAGTGGAACTCTGATGTGAAATGGGGATTCTGATGTGAAAGGAGGGGTTCTGATGTAAAGGGGGCTCCTAATTTGATGGGGGGTCTCCTTATTTGAACGGGGGACTTTGATGTAAAGGGAAGAACCACACTTTTTGTGTGTTTTGGCGTTGGGTCCCTCCCTTAAAATCCATTACAATTAGTCTGGGGAGCCTTGAGATTTGCATACTTTTTTGACTGAAAAAAGCTTGAGAAACTCTGGCGTAATCAATTTGTTGTGTTCCAAGCCTCTACTAGGTCCACCTTGCCCTTTACACTAGCCACTCAGCGAGGGTTAGGTATTTCCCCCATGTGCACTTTGCTATATTACAATGGACAACAGGTAAGCACACCTAAAATGAGGAGAAGATTACAGAACTTGATTGTGTAGGGAAAGGGAAAAACAAGCATGCAAAATTCCGGGAAAGATGAGATGGCAGGTGCTAGAACTACTACGTTGTATCTCTGCCACAAATAGCCATGTCAAGCTAGAGGAGCTGACATGCCAAGGCAACTGATGAGCTCGGAGGAAAAAATTTATATGGAAAACAAATTCTTCATATTATATCACCAGCAAATCATGGTTTTCCCCTCGCGATGGAAACACCCAAAGTGATCAGTCAGAAAGTTCTGAATATTGTCACCACCTTGTGAGCTTTCTTACACAATAATAATCAATAAACATGCAGGTAAAAAAAAAGAACCAAAAAAGAAATATGTGTAAAAATCAGCAAAGTGGCAAAAAAAGAGAGCTTATAAAAGTGATATTAAAAACAGCAATTATGTATAAAAAAACGGTGATAAATCCTCAGTAAGCTATAAATTATTAATATTATCAAAAAAGGTGCACTTCAGTTCTTTTGTGCAGTTTATATACAGGTGAAACTCGAATAATTAGAATATCGTGCAAAAGTAATTGCAGTAAGTGCTGCAAAAGGGGCCAAAACCAAGTACTGAGTACATATGCATGCTTGTACTTTTCATTATGAATCATTGTAGATTTGTACACATATTTATTATTTGGTGCTTTTAGGGCTGTGTAAATTTATTGATTTTGTGTTGTCTATCTCTTTGGATATAGCAGAGCTGCTTTAAGTTAATTTCAGTACAAGGCAGGTGGGTTAAAGGAGAACTATGGGGTTAGGGCTTTTCCCCATAGTTCTCCTTAGGGTAACGCGAGGACACAACCTAGCGTCCTCCCGTCACCCTAAGCTCAGTATACCGCGAGCTGCAGCTCGCGGTATATTGAGACATCACAGCTGAAGCGGATCCCGACAATTATGTCTGGATCCACCCAGCTGCGTGAGTGACAGCTGACTCTGTAGTTAGGGAAAACTCCTAAACACAAAGTATCTCATATGTGTATGTGTATATATATATATTGTATAGATACAATATATATACTGTACTCACTGCTCATACACAAGCTAACAAACAAAATAAAAATACCTTCCAAAGCTCTAATTCTTCATGTAGTTTCTGTATGTCTTCCATGCTTATGTTCACTTTACTGAAAACATAAAATGAATAATAGAAAATATTGACAATGATGTATAGCAACTGTATATAATAGAGTATTATATTAGTATCATAGCGTGCAGTTTAGTTTTCTAAGCCCATGTTTGACACCTATGTAAAAACTATGGTGGTATACTTATAAATCAGTAAATGTGATCTTCACCAAACATTTATCACTTCGCTACCGAAGCAACTTTTTTATTTTTTGTCCACATAACAAAATCTGCATTTTTGGCTAAAAAAAAGTACCTAAAATCCCAAAACATAATCTATTTTCTGAAAGCAGAGGTTCTGTGGAATTATAAGATGGCAGCTGCAATTTTTTATGTTGCATGGTATTTGCGCGACTGTTTATAAAATCTATATTTTCAGTAAATAATGTACTAAGATGATTTTTACTGAACACAATATAATTCCCATCTATCTGTACACAATAAAATATGAGGTTGTGTCAAATAAATAGATACCAAATATTCCTCAAACTGCGTGTGACTGAAAAACAACAAAAAATTACAGTACCCAAAATAATCAATGCTTTTACAGGTCAACAGTTTAGAGTAACACATAAATAAGGGACCTTGAATTATTTCTCTCACTTCAGTGTGCCCGGCAATACCCAATATGTGTTGCGCAATCAGTGTTTACATACACATGCGCGTCCCATGTACGCTTTGCCTTTGTATATGTGTGCATGGGGCAATGGGGTGCTTTTCAGTGTTTTTTGTATTTATGTTTATTTAATTGTATTTTAATTTTTTTTTTACATTTTTCTTATCTTTATTGTTATTATAAGGGGATTAAAAAGCTCCCTATGTGATAGTATTGGGCACTGGGTGACAGGTAGTCTTACTTTAGACATCAGGGGTCAGTAGGGTTGCCACCTTTTCTTCCAGCGAAACCCAAACACTCTAGAGACGCACAGAATGTTTTTGAGAGAATGAGTTGCGGTTTTTCCATATGTAAATATCACAGTTGAGACTATTTTCAGTGGGGGGCCAATACCCCTTATCTTAATTTTGGTTGCCCCTGTCTGCCTGATATCTTTTGTCTGGGTTTCAGCTGTCATGAAACCCGGACACAGCATTCAAAACTCGGACTGCTCGAGTGAATGCCGAACAGTTGACAACCCTAGGGGTCAGTTAGACAGCCTTGAGCTTGTTTTAACCACTTCAGTGCAGGACATATGACATAAGTCTAGAATAATGACATGGTGAATGACAAGTAAATCAATTGCTGTAATTTAAAACATATGTATCAGGATGATATAGCTCAAATAAATGTTTGGTAAATGTCACTTTGACTGCTTTTTAATATAACCCTATATATTAAGCTCACATCAATGCATAGAACACAAAAACAAGCTTTGTGTTTGATTATGATGATGATAATGATAATGATAATAATATAACAATAATAGTACAAGAAAAATGTTTTCCAAAGAATATATCACTTGTATAGCATATATATTGACTACTTTTTAATAGTAAAACCTATATGTTAAACTCATATCAATATATAGAACACAAAAGCAAGATTTTTGTTTGATGATGATAAATAATAATAATAATTATAATAAAGCAATAATAGTGCAAGAAAAATGTTTTCTAAAGCACATATCACTTGTATAGCATATATATTACATAGGTATAACATGTTTTGTAATAGTACAGGTTCCCCTGGTGGCTACAAGGAAAATTACTCCAATATTTTATTCTTGTTTACAAAGTCTCTTTCGGGGTTTTTTATCCCATACCTCCCAACTTTCTGGAATGAGATAGACGGACGTGTTTTAATACAAAGCATGTAGGGAAGGACACGCCTCTTCCAAGTTACATGGACCATGAAAAGTTGACACGGAAACAATGACCGGTTAAACCCAGGAGCTTTTCTCAGCCTGTCCTTTATACCCTTATACTGGCTTTTCAAATGAACAAACGCTATGAATTAGAGGCTGGGTGAAAGGTTTGGTGTAGTATAACAGATTTGGTAGTTAAAATGTATATATTTTTTCTAAAAAGTCTATACGTTGGTGCAAAAACAGAAGCAATTGAGAATGAAAGAGGGATAGAGGGATTTGGTTCCAAAATTAGGACAGTTCCTCCAAATGAGGGACAGTTGTGGGAGGTATTTGATCCTCTTGGTTAGAGGTTTGGGGGCCCAGTGAAGGTTTCTGTTTCTGAACACAAGTTAATAAAGAGAAAGGCAGGTAAAGAGGAAGTAAAGACAACATGGAGATCCCATGAGGCACAGAAGCTGACATTCATATATATATACTGTTATCCCATTTAAATTAATATTATACTCACAGATCCTTTACAGGTCAGATTTGTGAAACAAAAGACGACTTTGATCGTGTCAGAGAAATCTGAAAAGCTTCCTGCTTCTCTGCCGCTCCAAAGTTCTAAGAATAGAAACTAAGAGAATTATGAACGCCTTCACTCAGTTTCACTTTCTGTTAGGCTGCTTTCAGTGCACAGCTCCGAGATTGCTGCCTCCACATGAGGGAGGGTGGGAGGAAACACAAGTTGTTTTTTAATGCAGCTGCATTGAGGCCTATTCCTGATCTTGAGCCCAGGTTCACACCTCATAACACACATTCAGACAAAAACGTGCAACATACTTGCGGTGCCATTCCTTGTTAACGGCACCCAAAATGTGAACTGTAAAATGTGTTTTTTCCCAGCGCGTCAAAAGTGTACAAACGCGCATGAAATAGATGCAGCGCATGTCTAGCTGAAAATTCAGCATGAGCTACTTTGCAGTGTTTGTTGCAGGTGTGACAGCCCATTGACTGATTGGGCTGATGCGTGGCAAAAACACATACGAATGTGCACAATCGTGCGCCGCACACATTCCCAGGCTGTGCATTGTGAACGGGGTTTGATGCTGAGCTACGCTGCACTTTGCAGTTTTATCACTTCTTTTCTTGACGATGTTTTCCTACCATTTATAGGGCTGCAAAGTGAAATATGCTGAACGGAATGTGTTATGTAAAAATGGCAGTAAACTTGAGTAAATAGAGCATCAGAAGAGTTAAATATCGTGCAGCACAGTGGCTCAGTGGTTAGCACTGCTGCCATGTGGTATGGGCTGGATTTACTCTCTCTGCTGCCCCAAAGCCAGGTTTCTCAATGCGCCCCCCTATCCACCATACCTGGAACTGCATGTCCCCGGCATCGGGAGATAGGAATTCCACACCCCTGATGCCCCTCTACTCCCTGCTGCCCCAAGGCTGGGCCTTGGTTGGCCTTGTGGGAAATCTGGCCCTGCATGTGGTTCTTCACTGGTCAGGACACTTTCTACACTGAGCTTGCATGTTCTATTCAATTGGCTCCTAGGAGTTTGAATGTTCTTATGAATTGGCTTCTGTCTAAAACTTGCCTGTGCATATGAGATAGGGATCTTAGATTGCAAGCTCCTTGATGGCAGGGACTGATTGCTATATAAGAACCTGTACGTACTCTCCTCAAGAGTATTCCTTAACCACTTGAAGTCTGGGGTGTTAAACCCCCTTCCCATCCAGGCCATTTTTCAGTATTCAGCGCTGCGGTACTTTGACTGACATTTATTCCGTCATGCAACGCTGTACTGAAATTGATTTTATACCATTTTTTGGGGACAGATAGAGCTTTATTTCGGTGGTATTTAATCACCACTGGGGTTTTTATTTTTTAATATATTAAGGAAAAATTACAGAAAAAAAAACTGTTTCCCCTATATTAAATTCTAAAACATTTATTATTACCCAATGTTTTGGTAAAATATAAAAGACGCGGTCACGTCCGGTAAAAAGACACCAAACATGTCAAGTCTTAAAATTGCGCACACGCGCAAAACCTCAAAAAGCTACATTACCCAAAATTGGCTATAGGCGACGCTTTAAAAGCTTTTACCGCTCATCAGTTTAGTGTTATCAGAGATTTATGGCCTAAAAATGATTGCTCTCACTTCGACATTCATGGCGATATGTAACATGTGTAGCGAAATTGTCGTTTTTGGGCGCTGGTGCACCGGACGCGTATTTACATTTATATGTAGCAAAGGCACACTGACAGGTCCTCTTTATGGAGACATTAGGGGACTCTAGGGCCCCTACTGTCACCTGGGGACCCCAAAAGAAGCTGATGAAGCAGAGATCTGCTTCATCAGCATCTTCTCTCTGGCTATGGTCATCATCCATCGTCATTGACGAGGATCTACATCGCTGAACTATGTGATTGACCTGTGGATTACATCAATGAACATTTGATTTTTGATTTTTTTTTAAATAAAGGACTTGTTAAAACCTGTGTTGTGTTTTTTTATTTCAAATAAAGAACTTTGTATATGGTGTGCTGTGTTTGGTGTTGTGTTTATTTACTATTTTACTTTTATTTGGTGAATGAGTTGGGGTAACAACTACTCCTTACTCATTCACAAGGGGGGGCAGCATCTGGGTGAAAGGGGGCACCCAGATTCAGATAAGCCACCGATTTAGGGTTGTGGGGAAGAGGCCCTTGCTCTCATCAATATCCACAGCCTCATGCATTTCCATGGTGCAAATGCAAACAAAGTTAATGCATGCACTCTTCCTGCCTCTTCCTCTTGGCAGCCAATGCTATAAGAGGTATAAATGGTGTAACCTGAGAGAATCCCAGGTAGATTGTGATGCAGCTCTCGGGTCAGGGACTTCATTTCAAAACAGGGACATAACCAGGGACACTTTTTATCTGGGGACAGCCTGTTGAAAATGGGGACCAGGGACATCTGGTCAATCTACTATATAGGATGGCAGCAACTACTGTATCCCTCCCTACAAACACAGCGTGATCTGACCCTATCTACTCCAACACACTGACAAAAGGATACCGGGAATCTTGACTTTTACAGAGAGGGGGCTGGAACATTAGAAAGCCCCCATTATTGGTCCTTCTAAGCCATCTGACCAGAGTTCAGGCAAGGAAGTGCATTATTGGTTGCTTTGGTGGCCACATTGCTGCACCATTTACCCGAACTGCAAACAACTTGGGTTTGGGTCATACTGATGTGTGACTCAAACTCGCAGCTCATCCTTAATAAGGAACAATATTTTTTAAAGAGAACAGATACAAGAATCCGCACATACAAGAAGCAGCACACCAAGCAGCAACATCTTTATCCACACGTCCCCATCTTCAAAAAGTGCTGTACTATGGGTCAACTCTCGTAACTTTTCACATTATTTTTTTAAGTGTATCCAAAAACAAAAATCAGTCACAGGTAAACAGCTCTTCCCTTTTCATATTTATGACTCCATTAGAGTTCTATGAGAGATGGGATCTGAATCAAGTGTCCAGAAAAAGAAAGATATTATAGTGGTCAGCAGCCAAAACCGGGGAGATTTCTAGAGACAAAAATATAAAATAAAAAATCTGTCCATTTATCCCTCAGAGTTTATACATGTTGGGCTAACTGGCAAAATAAGGCAGAAATATGGGGGGTTTTGAACCAATATGCTATCTCATAGAACAATCTTTGACCTTTTAGGCACTAAATTAGAGCTCCTGGTAGATACAAAAAAAAATTCCAATTAATGAAATTATTTGTTCATTAAAAAAACCAATAAAATGTATTTTTAAATCCAATTAGTGTACACACCAATATTTGTCTTGCTATCAGCCTTCTGTCTTCCCTAGTACAGCAGCAGTTAAACTTGGGGTGGTAGGGATGGTACTAGGACCCAATCAGGCTCTGCTGAAGAAGGAGAGAAGAGAGTGTAGAGAGATGGCCTCATCAGTGTACTGCTGCTAATTCACAGTCCAATAACCATGCCGGGGATGTGTCCTTGACCAGGCTGTGCTGCTGCTGCTGCTGCAGTCAACGTTGAGGGTCTGGCTGTGCTAGACAGCAAAACTGGCAGCACAGAATTGCAAACCTTTGCCAGGTAAAACTATATACCCATAAAAAGGTACCTATATATGTAATTTTAGCTTACATACCACATTTCACTCCTTAAAAGCCCATTAAGCTCAGGAAACAGATAAGGGAACTAAAACGGTAAAAAGGGAAGCTGAAAAAAGAGATATAGTGCTTTGTTCTGTACAATGACCATACAGACGCTGAGTATGGGAGAGGGAGAACTTTCATGGCTGGTTGGCTTAAATTAAATAAAGCAAATATTGTCTGATCTCAATGCAGTATAGAAGCTTTATATGTCTTTATATGTCTTTATAAGCTTTATAAGAAAAAATGAAAGCAAAGAAAAAACAAAGTTCCATAGATGAACATTAAACTTTTTCCTACTTATGGACAGAGACAGACAGGGGCGTCCCTAGCTTTTTTAACACCTGAGGCCGCCGAGGGGGTGACCCTTGTGTTGCTGGATGCTGCATAATCATTGGAGGGGGGCGAGGTTGGAAATTGACACCGCTAAGAGCCGGGCAGGTAGATGTGTAAGGGCTCTGCTTCTCCGCACCCAGCTCTAAGCAACCTGGAACATTCTGGCTGACGTCCTGCCGAGCTCCTGGCAACCAGTACTGTCACTGGTTGCTAGGAGTTCTGCAGGACATTCTGGCCAGCATCCCACCAAGCTCCTGGCAACCAGTGACGCCACTGGTTGCCAGGAGCTGGGCGGGGTGCCAGCAAGAGCATCCCAGGTTGCTAGGAGCTGGGGAGAGATGTGCATGGCTCTCTTAACCTGGCTCTGAGCAAGCTGGGATACAGGCACACAAGGGGGCGGCAGGCACACTGCAAACATGCCGCTATGGCTATGCCTGCTGCTCCCCCACATTACCCAAAGAGATGCCGCTTGAGGCAACATACTCAGCTAGCCTTATTATAGGGACGGCCCTGAACACAGAGGTTTGGAACTTCTGTCAAGCTACTGTCTTTGTCCTCAATGGGGAAAGTCAGCCATGTTTTGTGCCCTGGTGGCCTAACTTTTTTACACTTGTTGCTGGACCATAAATAGAGAGGAAATCCTATAATGGTAACACCTGTTTTCTAAAATGCCTCTTGCTACTTGAATGTCACAGACCAAAAATGTATCTAGATTTCTTCAATGCGGACAGTGACAGCAATAGAAAACCCTGTCCGCGGTTCTCATTCTTCCCCGTTGTATAGAAAACAAGGTGCAGGTGTACTTGTTATTGACTTGGACTTTTTATCCCTGTAAAAATAGAAAGATGGTGAGTCAGCGTTGTTGGAAAGGTCTGGTTTTTCCAGTAAGCTGAAAGCTGAGCTCTACTTTCACTTTGGACATACGGCTGGCTGCTCTGCTGGCAATCTATACACACAAATTCAGACACGTCATGAGCTGTTCATCTGCTCGGACAGATCTCAGGTGCCTCATGTACAGTGAGGGATAAAAGGGCAATATGGAGGACCTGAATGATTGTGATAAGGATATAAACAAGCCCAGCAGGAATTTCCCGGGGGTTCCCATATGTCAGGGTTCTGAGATGGCCGGCAAGACATTCTGAGACTTGTAGTACACTTTGGCAGTCTAGTTATTGTAGAAAAAAAATCAGGGTGATGGTGGTCTTGCTGTTTGAAGGCTTTAAAGAGCAACTCCGGGAATTGCAAAAGTGACCCTTGCATTGAGGCTGCCACCACACTGCAAGGGTTAAGTGCTCATCTTGGTCTAGGAGCTCAAATAAAGAAGATACACTGACCTGATCCTGGGTCCCGTCTGGCTGCAAGACCAGTCCTCGCAGCCTCTTCTCCCCCAGGCGCTCTAAGGACCCGTGGCGTCATCACGTCTAATGCAGGTCCATTGACGTGCATTACACTTAAGGATGCCAAGGGACATTCCACAGCCAGAGTGTAGTGGAAGTGAACACTGACTACTGCAGGACTGAGGATCAGTACATCTGAGTACAATGAGTACATGTGCTTTATTTTAGCCCCTAGACCAAAATGAGCACTTGCAGTAACGTGAAATACTTCTTTATTATCCCTACCTTCCATACACAAATTGGAACACTATAGTCTCTTTAAAGTTTGGTTTTATATATGTTTGTAAACCAGTGATGTGCCGTGCCTTCTGTGCTGGGTGAGGCATTCCCCAGCCCGCCATAGCTCCGCCCCACCGAATCCCCACCTCCAGCTCGGTAACCAAGCTGTGTGGAGGAGGAAGGGAGGAGCCTCCCTGTGCATCACTAGTGAGGCATTGATATCCTCACTGTTTTTTTTTTTTTTTATTGGACAGCTTGGACCAAAGGCGCTTTGCCATTGTTCCAAGCCATCCACAGAGCTCACACCTCTAACACAGAGTATAGGCTGTGACAGCTCTTATCTCAATATGTTAGGTTACACAAGCATTGGAGAAGCCCGCTGCTGTGTAACCTAACTACCTGTCAAATGCCGGATGCAGCACTGCCCGTAAATAACATTCAGCACTCCATCCATGACAGGTTACACAGCGGAGAGGATTTCTCTGCTGCGTAACCTGTAACAAGCTGCTCTTCGGCTGCATTAAACCGAAAAACACATCTGATTGGTCAGAAAAGTCACATGTTCGATTCAGTTTCAGATGGGATCCGAAATTCGGAAACCGAAAACCGTATTCGGATACATTCGGATGCATTGGGATTCGGAAATTCGATGTGTCCTGAATGTCCGAATTTTGGAAAACTCTTCCAAATTTTGATTTGGAACGAAACGAATCGCACGTGTCTATAAATCAAATAAAATTGACCATCTTAAATCACATGAACCGCTGTCCATCCACAAAGTGGGTGACATTACCCAACAGCCAGACTTTTTAAAAGCCTGTAAATCAAACAGAATTGACCATCATACATATTGTAAAATGATGTCCACCCACAAACTGGGAGCTGTAACCCCAATAAGGATAAACCGTGACAGAGCAGGCATGAAACTCGCAGCAGGCTGTTGTAGATAAATCTGCTAGAAGCCTCAGGGTCACCATACATGTTACAATCCCATCATACAATCTTTGTACAATCAATTTTAGATCTACCAAAACTATGTCATATGAGGACCTACCTAATCTACTCAATCAGTTTATATCCAAACAGGGAGGCTCTTAGACTTGCACTACATACTTGTTGGTAGATCAAAAGGAGATTGTATAATCAGAATATAAGGTGTGTGGTGAGCTTAGAAGATCCAATCCGCATTCCCTCTCAGCTTCTCCCCAGCAACTCCAGGCAGACTTCACCCTGAAAAAAATAAGACGAAAGCCAGCAGACCGGGCCAGTTTCCTACGGAAGAGCCCTGGGGCCATGCTAAAAAGAATATGAAACATCATTCTGTTTTTAAAATTGTTTTCGTACACAAAAATAGTGGAACATATAAAACATTCCAGAAAATTGGACGGGTAAGGGGGGGATGGAGGGGGAGGGATCAATGGGAGGGGCATAACATTGGGGTAGGTATCGGAAGTAGGAGAGCGCTTGCAAAGGCTACACAGCCAGTTTCAATAAGGTCCAGTCAATAGTACCTCCCATATAGGCGCGAGATCGTTAAACTTAGGAAATACTAGACGGTATCACGTTACTGTTGTAATTATTTCTCAGATAGTTGTCAGAATTCTGACGTTTAAACAGAATTCTGTCTTTTAAACTCAGAATTACGTTTCATATTTTTTTTTAGCATGGCCCCAGGGACCTTCCGTAATAAAGTATATCTACAGCCCAAACTTTCCTTTTTTTAGTTTTAGAGTAAGGCCCCTTTCACAGGGGCAGCTGCCGTTACAATCAGCAGGAGTCACCATATGTTCACACCCCAATGTGGGGGCGATGGGTGGTGTGAATTCTACTTCAGGTCACCACAGTGCAGCACACCGCGCACATTGTACTAATAAAGTTATTAAAAAATTTGAAAAAGTGTAAAAAGTGACAGCTCTGGCAGTGTGCAATACACCAACACACTGCAGGAGTTGTCACCATGTAATAGCCTGCCAATCTGGTGTAAAGGGGCCTTTAGTGAGGGTTTTCTTCACTTTCACTAAAAAATTAAGGGTCACTGTTGACGGGTGTTTGCTGACTTCAGAACTGCTTGCCTCCCCATACAAGTCTATGGGAATGCAAAATCAGCTTTAGGGCCCCATGCACACAGGCTCATTGTGTTAAGGGAGACATTAGCTGGGAATTATAAACAGCTTTAATGCTTCCAAGTTCACCTTTTCCTGATCTTCCTGGGTTTAGTTGCATGTATACACATGTAGCCCCGTTTAGCTCGGTAAAATTGGGCTAAACGGTCCCAGGACGCAAAAAATTTCTTTTTGTGTAAATGCAGCTAGTCTAAATGTATCTAGACATTGGTGAACATATAGGTTTGCATTCAGTCATAGCAAAGCATTACTTACAGGTGAGTTTAGAGCTCCAAATGCACCTGGACTCATGTATTTTAATTGCCACGTGCATGGCCAACTGCACCTACAATAAATCCCTAAACTAGACCTTTACCCCCCTTTCAATAAAAAATGGTAAG